CCCCCCCCCCCCCTTTTTTTTAAATTTCGGGTCAGTTCTATTTAATCCACTCAACAAAACACGTCGTTATGGTTGGGATAGATACACTAAGATAGTAAGAAGAAATATATACCTTCAGGTCAAGTTTGCGAACATTAAAGATTTCCTTCAAACAATGTGATTTGTACTTTACTATGTAAGATTTATATGCATCTTTTGCCAACTTTTTCAAGTAATCATTGTTGGCAACCAACTTTTCCTGCATCAGTCCATGTTGACAACAAAAATTGTTTACTTCAAACTCATCAAAAATGGAATGACTGAATAAGTAGAAAACAGAAAGTTTGATGAACGTGAATTACCAGGTTAGGTTGCACATTTTCCAGCTTATTTTCGTTGATTATATACTCATTCATAAGCACTTTTGCAGCCTGATATGAACAACACACATTTTTACATAAAGAACACCAGTCAAAATTTAGAGACTTGTTCTACAGGTGAAACTAAGGTAAACAAACTGACAATACGAAGTCATTTCTCTTACAACGTATCTAATTCTCCGTTATGCTACAGCAGTGACAGACCTTTAGTTTGTGACAAAATTGCAACTCTTCAGGACTCAGGAAAAGCAAGACATTTGTTTCTTTGGCACCTTCTCTATATGTTGTTCTATAAACTCTATCGATGAATTCCTGCAAGTAACGACACAGAAATGCATTTGATAAAAAGGTGTGGGGAGACTTCCATAAAATATAGATCAAAACACTTCATCTAAAATGATGCCAAGCACCTTATATTCATAAGGGGGATCGTATTGTATGATCCAATCCTACAAGAAGAAACGAGAAGAAATCAATCATTGACAATACCTTACAAAAAAGAAAACAAAAACCAGTTCCAGTACATTAAGCCTTGTTTGTCTACCATTCTTCAAAAATTCCTTTTTTTCTAAAATTCATTTTCAACCAGACATATTTACAATAAAGTTTTTTGAAATCCAAAACTTTTCCTTATTTTTTAACTTTACATTCTTCAAAAACTCACTATTCCAAAACTTATTTCTCCCAAAATGCTCTTTTTAATGGACATCAAACAGGGGTTAAATATTGTCCTCTAAGGTGACACAAGTCGAGCATATAAACATTCCCCTTTTATATTATTCCAAATATCTCTCTACAATTTCTTTAGCTGTTAAGCATAAAAATCAATTCTTTCCAGATGTAACTTGGGTCACTGGGAAAAAATGTACTTCCAGGCAGTAGTTTAATAATGCGAAGCCACTGAAGCTCCTGCCCTCCCTCCCCACCCTTTTTTTTTCATGTTCAAGTCCAGGTTTTTTACAATGTGCACCAAGAGTAAATAAGCATACCACGGAAGGAATATCAAGACCACATGCAGCTACATCGTTACATAACAAGATACCATTTTCCGCTTTGCAGAAGTCTAAAAAGTAAGATGTTCGTTGCAGCTGCTTTTGCTTGCCATGGATATCAAAGCAATCGATCTCGCTGTGTCTAAGAAGTTCAGAATGGTATTTGACGGAGTTGCATGAGGAAAAGAAAACCATCACTTTCTTTGACAGTTTCCTCTTCAAGAAGGAATAGAGAACGATAAATCTCTTGGCACTTGGGACAACACAGTAGCCTTGCTGCAGCCCTCTCGATTTCTTGTCAAATGGGGATGAAAAACAGCTAAGTTAATTAAAAGAAAAATCAAAACAAAATTGAACCATACCAAGGGGGGGAGTTGGTATACCCTCTTCCTTCCAGAACCCAAATCAATGTTGACAGGAGGATTTGTCTGAGATGATAATCCTGTATGCCCAACCTGAAATCAATAAATAAGTTTTCTTTATTTGTTCCAAAAAAATCTACAGCACTCACTCAATACCAAGTGCACAACAAGAGATCAGTTTCTTGTTACAAAATTCTGATTGAATAAAAATATTTGAGTACGAAAACTAACAAACAGGAATAAATGCGAAGCAAAAATATCATCCTACCTTCCAGAGGTTGACTAACTATTCTAAGAGGTTAAGCTCTTTGCGACAGTCTGCAACACAATGCTCACTAAATTCTCATTTATCAAAGGTTTGATACATGCATAATTCCATAAATGTATGCTGCCAAAACTAGAGCAAAATATTGCATTGTTTGTAATAACTACAGTAACGATCCGGCCGATATGCTCAAGCCATTATATCATACGTACTGTATGCTTTGGGTTGACACCGGCCTTCTTATTCCCCTCATGGCTCTCTACCGCGTCCTCCAGAATTCAAACTCAAGAACTTAAGTTGAATTCTGAATTGAATTTTGGTACCAATTGAAACTTTTTTTTTTTTGTAACAACTCGACCTCTATACTCACATCATTATATCATACGTACTGTCTGTTATGGATGGGCATCTGCCCACTTAATCCCTCACATACCAGGATTCAACTTACGTCTCTCATTAGGCAGAAATCTTGAGTTCGAATCAGGGGGATACAATAGAAAATCATGAGAGATAAGTGGGCAGATGACTACCCAAAGTGAACATTACGTATGATATAATAACTTGGACATGAGGCCTGAGTTGTTACAACTACATTCAGTAAAACTCACCCTTAAAATTAGTTCATAAGATGAGGGCTCAATTAGTTATAAATCAGTTAACTAAGCTTTAGGTTATTAAATTTATACGTCTAGGGTTCGAATCTAGGGGACGCAATAGAAAGTCGTGAAGGGTAAGTGGGTAACTGCCTACCCAAAGTGGAGAGTACATATAATATAATGGCTTGGAATGAGACCCAAGTTGTTACAACAAGATTCAGTAAAAACTCACCCTTAAAATTTGCTGGTAAGATGAGGGCTCAATTGGTTATAAATCAGTAAACTAAGCTTTAGGTTATTAAATTTCTACCCCTTTTTTCAGAGAAGAGATCAAGGCAGTCTATATTCCTAGCTAGGTGGCTTAATAGCACTAGTCTACTGGTGACTGGTGTATGCCATTCCACATCGAGTGCCTCATAATGGTGCTTGTAACTTGTAAGGAGATTCCATCTAAAAGTTATGTTGGTAGAGTGATTGCTTGTTAATTATTTAATTTAGTCTTCACGTATAACGTGCATACTCCCTATAACATGCATGCTCTGTAAAAGTAATTTTAAAATCCGGTTAGTAATTTTACCTGAGTCATGTTTTGAAAACCCATCTCCTTTTTAGCATTCGTGGCGGGTTCCGACTCAAAGTCCACTTCGCCATCACTCTCCAACCGTCTCTTAACTTCTCTCCCTTTTTTGCTCACATTCTCTGGCTCTTTCTCAATATTTGAATCATCCAAGGAAGCTGAAGGGCCAAGTACGTCATTTTTATTTTCAATTTTTTCTTGGTTTTCATCATCACCTAGTTCTAGTTGAGCCATCTCCTGATCGTTCTCTTCTTCTTCAGTTCGTTGTTGGGTGTCTTCGTAATTCTTTGCGGACTCCATATCTTCTTCTTTACTCTGCGCCTCTTAGAACACAGTTGAAAAAAGTGGCGGCGTTTGTGTTGGGATTACTTGCAAATTGCTAGCTCAACGTATTTTATAGGTTTTGAACATCCGCAAAGATCATTCCAAGACGGCCGTAACCCTGATTAAAGACACCTTGTTCATTGGACTTTGCTAGATGTGCATTGGCATGTACATAAGGTTGTCCACGGCGCCCCCTATTGGATGGACACCCTTAAGTACACACCAATATACAACAAGAATAATCATTGTATATTTATGCAGAGAAGGACACGAATACTTTAATTTAAAGAAATTAGACCTGCTATAATTAAATAGAAATCCTTCAAATAACCGAATAAGCCCTTGTTTATTTACGATTATTTAAAAAAAATATTCTCAAACTCATTTTTAATTACAGATTCTCACAATAAAATATTTTATACATAAACCTAAAACTCTTTTATATTTGTTAACTATATATTCTTCAAAAATTCACTATTCAAAAACTCATTTTCCTACTTTTACGATGGACAAACAAGGATAAATAAGACTCCATATTTATAAATTGTTTAATTGATAAATAAATAAATGAGTGATACATGTCATTAAAAATGAAGATTGATCATTTAAAAATAATTTATAATTTTGTCAAATGGAGAATATAATATTAAGCCCTTGTTTGAACCCAATTTTTTTCATAAGAATGCATTTTTGAATAGCATATTGATGAGAAATATATGGTTAAAAAATAAAGAAAAATTTTGAATTTACGTGCAATATTATTTTATTGAAAAATGTGTTGTTAAAATTATATCAAAATACTGTTTAAAAATGTATTTTTTTTTTTTAAAGAAAAAAGAATGAGACTCAAACTGGGGCTAAGTTTGGTTTGTTAATAGTGAGAATGAGCCAATGAAGTAAAAGAAATTCTTAGCCCCCATAAAATGTTTTGTATAACTTTGAAATGTTATGTAACCAAAGGTATTGTATAACTTTTAGAGCAAATTACAAAGATCTCCCCCATAAATATCAAATTAATATGGATACTACTCTTAATTTTTAAAAATCACAAAGACATCCCTTGAAATTTGTCTTTATTAACAAATTTCTTTGTTTTATTGTTTTTAGGTAATTATATTCACACTACAATTTTTTGTGACTGTTTATTCTTAATCTTTACTTATTATCATACATGATGATGCTACAAATAACACAATGCGACCATGAACCCTCTAGTCCTACTTTTGATCAACTAGTCTTATCTTAATTAAAAGAGGTCATATTATTTGTGAAGAATCTTAATCGAATTGGACTTGAGTCCTATGAAAATTATAACTATACTCTCTTATTCTTATTCAACTAGAATTACATTCTCTATTCTAATCAAGCTAGAGTTCTTTTCTATATAAATAAATCCTCACCCCTTCAACGAAGGTCTGTACTTTATTCTTTTAGATTTTACCTAAACATTTTTATGTTATAATACTAACTTAAGCATCGAAAAGGGTGATGGAGTCAACAAACTCCACACTTGTGTTTCATATGATCTTAGGTCCAAGGAAACATTCCAAGAGTATCGGTAACGAAGAATCACTTACAATTCAATTGCACGATAAAATTTGCAACAAAAAGAATATATTTTTAATACAGATTTTGCTTTCAAGTTTGTGAGTAATGTGTCTATTAATTTCTAAGTTCATGTATGTAACATCATAATATGTGCTAAATAGTTATGTGTTGCATATTAGGTAATGAATTTACATTAAAATCTTGAGAAATTAATACTCTTGAGATCAAGAAAAAGTTATTATTTGAGCAAATATGAATTAATCTATTAATTCAAAATTTTATAATTTATGAGGATAACTTTTAATTTGTTCAAATATTTTATGTAATATCTTTTTTATGTAATAAAACGAATTAAATGTTTCATTTTATGAAATGACTATATTTTTTCTATTTGTTGTGCATGTGACTCATATAGAGTGGAACTAGGTCCTGGATCAAATGGGTCGATGCCGGCGCGGAGCGAAGTGGGGTGGAGTGAGAGGAGCGGAGTGAAACAACGACATTGACCTTTCGCGAGCTTAATTCATTGTCTGGTCGGTATGGTATAGGAGTATTTCTTGTACGGGCCTTAAAGTATTATATGGGTCCGGGTTAGGGTTAGTATAAATAATATGTTGTAACCCTATTTTTCACTACTGAATAAAGATATCTCCGCTTCGCTCTCGTGGACATAGGCACACCGCCGAACCACGTAAATTCTTGTGTTGATTTATTTTTCATCCTTTAATATTGCGCATAAAATCCAACAACTGGTATCAGAGTTAGGTTCAGATGACAAGTTCTTCGATTAAAAAATTCGATGTGATGAAGTTTGACGGATATGGGAATTTCGAATTATGGCAGCGAAGGGTGAAGGATTTGTTGGCGCAGCAAAGGATGGTGAAGGCACTATCTAGGAAGAAATCAGAGGGTACATCAGATGCCGATTGGAAAGAGCTCGAGTACGAGCAGTTGGTACAATTCGGCTTTGTTTGGTGAACGAGATCATGTATCACATCATGGACGTCGAGTCTCCGGCGGAGGTTTGGGAGAAATTGAAGAGTCGTTATATGTCGAAGTCTCTCATGAACAAGTTGCATCTGAAGCAGCGATTGTACGGGCTGAAGATGATGGAGGGTACAGATCTGATTCAATACACCAATGTGTTCAATCAAATTATCAGTGATCTACTGCGACTTGAAATCAAGTTTGATGATGAAGACAAGGCAATGATTTTGTTGGCTCACTTCCTCATTCGTACGACCATCTGGTGACCACGTTGACGTGGGGTAAAGAGACTCTCAAACTGGAGAAAGTCACATCAACCATGGTAGCCTACAACCAGTGGAAACTGCGTACTGCAGGGTGAAGGGTTGATCGTAAAGGGCTACCAGGATCGTGGGAGAAGAAAGGACAGGGGTGGTTCTTTTAGAGGGAACACAAGATCAAAACCTAGGAATCAAAATAAGAAAAACGTCAAGTGCTACAAATACCATCAGATGGGTCACTTTAAGAGAGACTGTCCCAATAAGAAGCAGGGTGATGAAAGGAAATGTGATGGGTCCTCAAACTCAGCTAGTGTTGTAGAAGAAGACTCGAATTCTGGAGATGGAGACATGTTATCAGTCTCTGCAAGTAATTCTGAAAAATTAAATGACTGTTGGGTACTTGATTCAACTTGTTCGTATCACATGTGTACTCACCGGGATCGGTTTCATTCATATCGTTCTGGTAATTTTGGATCTGTTCTGATGGGTAATGATGTATCTTGTAAGGTCATTGGAATGGGGTCCATAAAATTTAAAATGTTCGATGGTGTGGTAAGGACCTTGGAAAATGTTAGGCATGTACTTGAGTTGAAAAAGAATCTAATTTCTTTAGGCGCTTTAGACACAAATGGTTAATCTTATAAGTCAAAGTGTGGGGCTCTAACAGTGAAGAAAGGGGCTATGATTGTGATGAAGGGTCAGAAATTATGCTTCTTGCTACTCTATATAGCAAAAGCACACAAGTCAAATAACTAATTGTGCTCGACTAACTCTCATTCTTAGTCAACAATTGTATATCTATTCCAATCACAAGTTATTCCTTTGACAACGAAATAGAATAACTGACAACAGCACCCTTCAGGTATCACAATACATTTTTTAAAGATAATATTGATACCTACTGATTAGATCCATGGCACGTTCATTGTTAGGACAAGTATATATCATAGTATACTTCTATTTCCTGACTCTTAATCGTACTAGATATGGTTCTTTGGATATTTCTTTGGGCTCTTTTGGAGTTTTTGGACATTTATGAAGAGTTATATGGTCACAGTTACAATTTTACATAAGCATTTGTAGTATAAAATTCTTATGATAGAGCAAGAACATGGGAAAAGTATTCTTAGCACAAATCATACAATTTGCTAAACTCATGTCTTTTCTCTCAAAAATTGAGGACAACCATTTCAAAATAGTCTCTATTTACTTCTTATAATGCTTAGCCAATCCAATGTTATCAATATCAATATTAGAATTATAACCTACCATCAGACCTTTTATACAAATACAGTAATTTTCGTCCATATGACAAAATTCTTGTACGAGATTTAACCCTATTAAAAACTCAAGTACGAGTGTCGAGACAGAGCCGGACCTGATGGGAGGCCCAAGAGGCCTCCGCCTCAGGCCCAAAATTTTAGGGGGCCCATTTTTTACTTTTTACTTTTTTTTTTCTTTAAACCTACTATGCCCATGTGTTCAAAAGAAACGAATAAATACTTTAATGAAAAGGGAAGGAAGGAACATGAAAAAATTTATTTATTGTTTTATTGTTGATTTAAGTTAACAAATTTAATTCCGTAAACTTCTAATTTTTTATTATATTTTTTTTAAAAATGGATTGTTTGCTACGACTTAGGGCCCAAGTTCCGAAGTTCGCCTCAGGCCCCGCGAAGCACAGGTACAGTTTTGTGTCGAGATGACTGTATTTGGCCATGCGTGTAACTATAAAGTTACCACAATACAAAAAAAACCTTTAACATGAAATCTAAAAATCGATTCATGTTGATATCTTTAATCATTTCTCAATTGAGAATAAAAATACAGTCTCTAGGTCGATTGGTGTAACTCTAAATTTAAACATACCATTACAACTAGCATTGATGTACAGAAATGAATCCCATCGTTATGAAAAAATTTAGCCAACCCAGTACACTCACATTGAGTATAACCTTTTTAAAAAATGAGTTTTATCTATCAAAAACTCATTAGTCTTCCACTTAACTTTCAAGAACCTGAATGTTCTCGGTAAACATAATGTCCGAATAGAACTTTCACCATATCCCATATTAGGTTGAAATTCTATACTCCATATATATACTTCCATCACTTTTCTCAAAATTTCTCTTCTAATTTTCTGAACTAGCTCTTAGATCTAACTTGAAACCAAGAATCATTAAAATTAGACAGTTCTTAAATGGCTCCCACTTGGATAGATAAGTCCAACTCAGAAACAGATTACTCCTACTTGAATCAAAAGATGGAATCATCTCTTATATATTCAAAACTGATTCATCAATGTATATAATATCAATTTCA